AAAAATTAAGATGAAGTTTTTTGTTTTTGCAATCTGAAGTCTGAAAAAACACAATTGATTGTCTTAGTTTTACTATTTTGTCAATTTTTTGCAATTAAATTATGAAAATATATATTTTGATAGGGAGAATGTTGTTAGTTTATCAAACTGTATATAACTCTTAAAGAAAAAAAACCTACTTAGAATTAAAATGTGATGTTAATACCGGACAAATTTACTAGCTCTTTAGAAATATTTTAGAGTAATGGAAGAACAACAAGCTAAAATACATTTTTAGATTTTTCTAAATTTTCTCCATTTTTTTTTTATTTTTTTACTTTTACCTATATGTATTCCATATTTTAGAAGGAAGTTGCCGAAAGCATCACAAAGAGATAGTAGAAGCACCAACGTTAGGGGCCAACCCTCTAAAGTTATAAAATGGAGTGATATTACTCCATTTACAAATTGTCATTATGCATATGACTACATTTTAAGAAATATTGCATGCATTTTATATCTTATTAATTAGAAAGCCTATCTACTTGTAGTCTGCAATGCCGTTCCTAACAGGCTTGCCAATTGTATTTTTAAAACCGCCTCAACATGTTTTTTTTTTTTCTTTGTAGTCCCATGCGGCAATAAGTCTGTGGGGTAGGGTAAGGGTGAGGAATAGTGCTGGATTACTCTGCTCCATACAACCAGAGAAACCTGTAGTAATTGCCATGCTTTTTTCACCTCTTATGAATTTTTCTTTTAGATTGTAGGGTTGGTTAGATGGGCTGCTCAGTGGCGCAGTGGGTAGCACTGCTCCCTTGCTGCAAGAAGGTTTTGGGCATTCGTCGGTTCCTCCGGGTACTCCGGCTTCCTCCCACAGTCCAAAAACATGACTGTTAGGTTAAATGGCTTCTCTAAATTGTCCTTAGGTGTGAGTGTGTGCGTGAATGGTTGTTTGTCCTGTGTGTCTCTGTGTTGCCCTGCGATGGATTGACGACCTGTCCAGGGTGTACCCCGCCTCTCACCCATTGACTGCTGGAGGTAGGCACCAGCATCCCTCGCAACCCCAATTGGGACAAGCGTGTCAGATAATGGATGGATGGATGGATTGGTTTAATGGATAATGATAGCACTTTTGAAACTGTCACTTTTTAAAAACTAAACACCTTGAAAACTATTAATGTGGCCATGTTTAATGCCTATACATACCCTAAGAAGTAATGCCCCCCCTCTACCAGGGCTTCAAAAATAAGGTCAATTTATCATTCACAAGAACTCAAATGCAGAACTCCTGTAAAGTCTTTACATGTCTCCCCCATTGCAGCACATTCACTTGATATTTTTGGGACATCAAACTTGAACAAATGTTCCTTTGAGAATAAGTGTCAAGAACAAACTGCAAACTCAAGACTAACAGTTCAGAATAATGTAATTTTGTTCCTGCACCCCGGGTAGAGAAGAATCTCATTTCCTTTTTTTGCATAGTATATATTGGCCTTTATGATGACCCAAGAAGTAACATTTTGATTTAGACACCAAAGAGATGTGTGTTCAAGGCATCAATAATCTAAGCTATTCCTGGGATGCATTGATACTAAAATGCTAATGCTGTAGCTTGGTGTACCTAAGCAGCAGCTGAAATTCAGTACGGACCTTGAGGTGAAATCTTTGTCTGCCCTCTGCTCTTGAGGTGTCTTGCGCAAAAAAAGCTTACCCTGTCTTTAAATTATCAAAGTGTGGATGGCAACAGTCCAAATTTGGACCTGGGGCACTGAATTGAGCTGTCTGCACTGTGGGGGGTGCCAGGGGTCAATTTAAAATTCACAGGCTACTTCATACACTATGCATTAGGCATAATATGTGGAAGTGCTGCAACACTTACAATCCTGCCCACACACAAACACACACACTTTTAGTGTTTGTACATAAACTCCTGCACGTATTAGCCAGTATCTTCACTCAGTGCGAGTGTTTATACACACATGCACACTAATTCTGTCCTCCTTTATGCCTTTGGACGTGAGTGGAACAGTAAAGCTAAAGCTCCTTGTCCCATTTGCCACTCATCTCCAATTCAAAGGCACAGCCTGCGATGCCCTCGGATGCACTTGGCAAGTGAACAGCTAACCTACCCACCAGCGTATCAGCCTGCCAGCCGGGCTCACAGGCACCTAGCATGCCAACTAGCCCACCCAGCAGCCACGAGCTAATGCTTCACTAACCCCATGTTGCCCTGTGTCTTTTCCTTCAACTGGGTGTTTGTTCATGTATTGACACATTGAGAGTTTAGTTGCCCTATGTTGCATAGTAAAAAGGCAGTCTGTAAGTCTTACTTTTCATCTACATATACATTCCTTTCTTGTGTTTATGAAAAAAGCAACTTCAGTGGTGCTGTGCTTAATGTCCTTGTTTAGTCTGATCAGAGTTTCGTTCCAAAAACAAAGCCTAGAGTAATTATTAAAGCATGTGAGTGTCTCATATATTCTTAATTGGGCAATTGCTAATTGCTTTAGCTACACACCATCAACATTGTGTTGTGTTTTTCCCTGTTGGATAGAGCAACACCATCTGCTGCCAGAAAAAGAAATTTAGATCAACCAAGATGTCTGCTAGGGAATGGGGATAATCTTAGATGACAGTTATTTTTTAAGGTCTTTGCCTTTCATTCTTATTTGTTTTATTCATGATTAGGCTTATTATCCAACAGTTCCCAAATGTTTCTGCTCTTGAGACTGTCACTGGTTGAGGCAGTGGCTGAGCCAGGGCATTCTCAAAGGGTTCGCTAGGCAGGGACCAATGTTCACTGAGGGGAGGCTAGAAGCATGTCAGTCAGTCTAAATTAACCAGATGCTACCAATAGGAAGATAAACGAGCACAACATCTGTATTTTCCAATAAAATCACTTAAGACAGACCAGAATTTAATGATGCCCGAGTTGATAAATGGACAACCATATTTATACAGCAGAGCTGTATAAATNAATCACTTAAGACAGACCAGAATTTAATGATGCCCGAGTTGATAAATGGACAACCATATTTATACAGCAGAGCTATACACATAACCCATTTCATGGTATATGCAGTTGTTCTCTGTTGACATAGAAGAATCCTATATGACCTGCGGAGCCACTTATCTTTCCTTTCTCTTCCATGAAAGACGAAAGCTAGCTATAAAAAGAGAATGAGTTATGCATTTTTTTGGTATTAGTGTAAATATGTGAATCACTGTGTATTTTTTGTCATTGTTTTTGTCAGTATATAAACCATAATTTGTCAAATTATTTAGGACATATTCCATCTGAAACAGTCACTGCTGCCATCCTCTGGTTTAGAAGGCAACTGCTTGTTCCACACGTGGTGAAATATATCCACATAGGATCAATAACTCACCTGGTGGGGTTGGCCAGTTATTGCCCCACCTTGGACAAATGGTGCTCGCTGCATTAACAGTTCAGATAGTTGGATGGATCAGCTTCAATGACTTCAACCTCCCCACCGACCGATCTAACTGGGAGCAGGCTATTTTAGCTTACTAGGAATAGTTTTGGGAAGGCTGGGGCTTTTTGGATAAAATGGGACGTGAAGTTAGCCTCCGGATTGGAGCTTCCAATTCGTTTAACGGGCTTTTCCACCTTTTTTTCTCACTACTTTCAGTCTCTATATTCCAATCAAGGGTCAAACTATGTTACCTCTTCTCTTAGAAAAAAACATAACTGTATGTTTGTCTTTATTCTGCAATGAAGATCTTTCATGTTGCAGTCTCTGCAATATGAGATAGTTTCCTGTATATATACACACATATACTTAGCCTACATTGAATGTAAATTTGCCTATATGATAAACTTCTCTAGAAAAATCATTAGCACAGACATTATCCTGGTAACATTGTCTCTAACACAATTGATCATAGTTTTTCAAACCAAATATGATGACATGTAGATCAGGGTAGGAAAGCACTGAGAAACTTTTTGATTTCAAAATGTAATTCCTCCATCTCTATTAGTCAGAGACCATAGACTTCTGGTTATTAAAGTGAACTTTCTCTTAAGGCTACAGTTATTCCCTTAGATTGTAGTAATACTGTTGGAGCTGTGCAGCAGTTCACCCCAGAAATAACAGGTCAAGCCAAAATTTATGAAGTGTAAAGCTGTTGTACCAATAAACCACTTCAGACCTTCCCTGCAGCTTGTGAGTCACTGAATTAGAACTTAAAGTGTGTTTTTCTTCCTCATTTTTTTTTCTCTAAATGTCGTATAAAAGCAGATGCTTTAGCTGCAGGCCAGAGATTTGGAGGGACACATTAAGAAAAAAAAAACTCAGACGTTACCTCTGTTCACATCACTGCATACAGTCTGCATGTGGTAACCTAACATCTTTCTATCTATTTAGTTTGATTAATGGTGATTTATTTATTTTTTCTTTAGCAGGTCAATATCTCCAATTTAATTGGTTAATATTTTTTTTTTTATCGTAACATTAGGAGTTATATCAAAATTTCAGACATGGAAAAATAATCTGTAAAAATCCTTATGTTTATCCATATTAGTTTATATTTTCTGCCATAGGTAAGTTGGAAATGTATTAAAATAATAAAAGTTTATTTGATTTGGCACTACTTACACAGTAAAGTGTTAAATCTATTAAATAAAAATTGTGTTAAAGGTAGTCAGAAAAAATATTATATTTCTCTTATTGCCCTGTTGTTAGTTTTTCTCTCTTTAAAGAAGCTCCTGACTAATGATCCATGTCTCCAGGGTGAAAAGGATAACCTCCTGCAGTGAAAGAAACTTCTACCAGTTAGAAATGTATTACAGTTTTAATTTATTTTTTTTATACTTTGCTGTGTGGAGCCTGAGCTGCTCTGTTTATGCATGAGGGACCGGATTTTTCCTGGTGCATCCTGGTTCCTGTTAGTTTCCCCTTTGCTTCCAGTAATGCAAATTCATAATTTGACAGTTTCTCTTCTTGTTCACCCACCCTCCCCTTTCCTTTTCCCTCTCCCTGTTTTTTTCTTTCTTTCAGAGCTCTTTGAAAAATCATGGCTGAGAAGTGCAAGAAAATCGGTAACAAGTGAAGCAGTGAAGAAACTAAGACACCACAATCATATCAAATCCGTCCATTTTTATTTCTGCTTCTCTATGTCTCTATACATTATTTGACCATTATGTATTAAACCATTTTTCGTTCACATTTTTCCCTGTTTGAACACCAAGTTGTGCCAGAGCTGTTTCTGCTTAAATAAATTCTCATAATCTGGTGGTGATGAGTTGTGTTTCTTTGTCTCCTGTTTGTTTTGTGCCTGTTAGCGAGACGCGAGTTGGCGGATGACTGTCTCTTGCCACAGCACACTAATATTTCTTCCACAAGTGAAAATGGGGTCATGTGTCCCCCTCTGACAGCTGTGGGAGCCTAGAGGCCTGATTTTCTGCCGTACTTGTGGTTTCATTAAGTGAGAAGAAGGGAGAGAAGAGTGAAGGAAATGAGGGATTAATGAAGTGGGGGACAGGGGAACAGTGAATGAATGTGTTTGTGTGTCTTCACCTTTCCTTTATACTGCATAATATTTTCCATCTGTTGTCTCCTACAAAGATCTATGTATACTTTAGTATTTAAAGAAAGTTAGAAAATATAGTTAATCATTGCTGTTAGGTCTGTATTTAATGAAACTCTTTCTAAATAAATCAGAAAAAAAATCTATGCACTTCTCTCTTTATTAAGAAAAATAGGCATAAGTATTTGTAAATGGCCAATATGCTGGACACGGCACATATTGTCCCTGCTGGCTGTGTTTCCATGGTGACAGCAGGGAATTTCTCCCAGCAATAAGGTGCAGAGGAACCTTCCAGATAACCCTAAAGGTCAGAAAATGGAGCTTCAACCTGCAGCAGTGCTCTGTACTTTACACACTTAACCCCCTCCCCACTGGAGAGGAAGAGCCCAGCTCAAGCGGAGATGCAATCCTGCTCCTATATGGACATGGTTGGGCACCCGAGGAATGGCGGAGGCTTGTTATCTGCACATACAGCTCCAGAATATCCATGGCCTTGTAGCACACCTACATGCCCCCTCCCTGGTGTGAGCAAACGTCCACACAGGAGGCTGTCGATTAGGACGCGCTCAGGTGAGTTTGTTAATGATAGCCAAGACGAATGATCCTTTGATTGCAGTTTAACTCCCACTTATCACCGCTGCATCGATCATTTCATCCAAAATGCCCCGGCTGAATCCATAATTGCTTGATTGCAGAAATGTAGCGAAATTAAAGATTTGAGAGATGAAACAGATTCTGGGGTTTCTGGCCTGCAAGAGTCTGAAGGCGAAAGCAGGTCCTAACTGAAATTTAAAAGGGTTTAAATAAAAATGTGAGAATAGTCTGATTTCTTTGATCAAAAGGATTAATGTGGCAATTATTCCTGAAATGTTATTACTTCTGCTGGTATTTGTGTCCCCATGGTAACCAAATTAGACTAAAATAACACCTGTAAACCCAACAGGAATAAAGAGATCACAAAATGCAAATCAAAACGCAGTTCTTCCACATACAGTAAATTTTAAAATTTTAAACTATTAACAAACAGGCTTTGTTTACTGATGGATGCAGATTTTTTATTGGTTTGCCAAAAATGTATAGTTTAAGGTAGACAAAGCTTTGGAGACTTGGAAATTAGGTCTGCACAAGACCCACAAATTAGCAGTATTTTCCTGAAAGGTTTTGTATTTATTTTTTATAAAAAAAAATTTTTAGGGTAACACTTAATTTAAGTCTGGTTTTAGGCAACATTTTTATATCCTCTACAAAAAATAAATATCATTTTAAAGCATATTATGAGCAGTTTCTTTTTTTTTATTATTAAATAAATTAAATACTTCTATTGATAAATTGTGCATAAACATTTCACTAAATAAATATCCCCATTAAATAAAACAAAATAAATATGTTAAGATGATTTTAGGTTAGAAGTAGGAATAGGAACACAGGCCCGCCTGTGACACATTTTTCGCTTTGAGAAAACAATCCTGAATGGAGAGAAAAGGCTTTTGAGCGAGAGACAGAAAATGCTTTGCAAGAGAAATGTTTTCTATCTGACTGCAAAAAAACAATATTTAATAGTAGAAATATATTTTGGGAGCTTTTTTCCCCTTGAAACAATTTTCCTAATGTTAATTTATCTTTCGTTCATTTTGTGAAAAATTTTCTCTCTCAACACTTTTTCTTTAGTCTCAAATGTGTAATTAAGTGTAAAAATTGTTCTGTCAAATATATTTATTTCACTTTTAAAATTATTTTCCATTTTCAGATAGTATTTTTCCTTGAATTTTATAGAAATACAAATATAACTTCAGCCAGACGGATAAAACTTCACCTCCATATTTGAGTCAGTATATTTAGTTTGCTAAGCAAACCTGTGCCTTTTTGTAACAGGACATGTGTCGAATCGCGCAGTGTTTTCGCAAGTACATTTCTAATCGCATCTAGTTAGCATAGTATACCAAAATTTCAGGAGGACGCATGGCTTGCCTAGTATGGCTGTCAAAAGGATAAAAAAAAAAAAAAAGTTTTTTTTTTTTTTTTTTTTTTTTTGTCACTGCTTGGAGACCATTTCAAAACTTTTAACACATTTGCTGGAAATAGGGTGGCCATTTCTATAGCACCAAAAAGGAGGACATTGTGCGGCATATCAATAAATTACTAAGGTGTACATAAGAATCGGGTAAAGTCACATTTATAGCACAATTAGTCACATTTATAGCACAATTCTTAGTAGTTTAAAGAGGATGCTTGTGTAGCTGAATAGAACAAAATATTAAAGA